ATAGTACTAGCAAAAATGGCTAATCTTTGTGTTAAAGAAAAATTAGTATATTCTTTTAGCTGTGCTTTAAATGCTTATTTACATAAACTGTACTATCTTTACCTTTACAAATAAATAGTCTCTATATAAAGTACAAGCTACAGAAAAAAAATTAAGTCAAATGAAAATGATACTAATCCCATCTACTATTATGCACAAAATTATAATAATAATAAATCACTTGTGTTATACTGTGAAGAACTATTCATTTCCTGTCAATCTGATTCTAAATGCAAATTCTAAACACTGGTGACAGGAAAGCACAGATAAATTTAACTAGCAGAAAATTCATGGAAACAAGATTTTGCAAGATCGGACTACTGTACGTTGGCTTGACTGGAAGCTAATGTGCCAGGTTTAGCATAACTGCATGAGCTACTTTGTACATTGCGCAGCTTAGGGAATGACAACCTGCTCAGGAAATATATTTTCTAGATTAATCAAAATGAAAAATAAATAATACATGTGGGATAATATGGGGTGTTAATAGAGTTGGTGAAATATCAAAGAAATCATCATAGAAGCAATCAAGAATAAAAATAAATATTTCAATAATTACTCGCTGAAACAACACAGACCACCAGCTCCTCCCACTTCATCCACATAATTATTCTCCATTCTTTTCTTACTTTCACAAGAATCTTGGCATAAAATTAATTAGTCTTAGGATTAATCAACTGGAATACTAGTTCGAACTATTAAAAATCAAAATAACCACTTCTTCTTCTTCTTTTTCTTCTGTTCTTTAGCTTCCGTCTCATCTATGTCCTTATCTGCATCACCCTTTGCTCCTTTTTTATCCTTCTTTTCCTTCTTCTTTTTCTTTTTCTTAGGCAGTTTCAGAGTTTTCTTCTTCTTTGGAGGTTCCACCACGCTGTTGCCATTTTCATTCCCATCAATATGTTTTTCTGAAACAACAAAATTCAAATTAATATCTTCAACTCTGAAACTGAAATACCATTATTGTCTATGATATTTATATATCCTACAATAAAAAAGTAGAAAAAAGAAGAGAAAAAACAAATGAGAGAGAGAGAGAGAGGGAGGACATACACGCCCTATTTTGACTTTTTTTTTCCAATCCTTTAGTCAATCTTTCTTTAAACTCTTTGCTTTAAATACACGCAAAAAAATTTATGTGTTACAATGAGTTCTTGTGTTTATGTTACAATGTGTACTGTGTTACTACATCAATGCATGTAGACTCCACAACACTTTTGTTATTGTGAAAGCATTACAAGCATTTTAATAAACTGTCTGTAAGCTCTTCTATTTTACCATTCTCTGTCCCATATCTCCCAACTAAAAGCATTTCTCTTTTACCAGTATTTTGTTGTAACCTTGAGTGTCTCTCCTCCCTTTCTGACACAGTCCCTTCAACCATACCTTCCGGTAATCTGCTCGATCTCAGTTACTCTGCAAATCATATCTGCTTCATAAGTGGCATCCCTTGAAATGTCTACCTGCAAGTATTTAGAGCAAGATACAGGGATCCGCCTCCTGTTCGTTCACTGAGAAATTTTTCCCTTTCAGCTGGCTGTCTCCCCTCTCCCTACTAGTTCTTTCTTGTCCCCTTAGTGTTATAGATTTAATTGAAAAGCATGTGACTACACCAGGTTAATAACTAGAATAAGGAAAAGGTGTTGAGGTGATTGTTACATTTTCCAAACCTGAAGAAAATATTAATGGGCTTCCCTGTTAAATATATCTACCTGTAGATGCATCCACCTCAGGAAATGTTAAAGCTGTCTACTTTTTCTTTTGACATGCTTTTAGCTGTCACAAGTGTTATTCACAAGGGACAAAAAATTTAAAGGTGCATTATCAAATTACAAAAGCCCATACATAGCATGAACATCACTGTGCTAAGTTTATTTCTTGTTAAAGGGTGCTACACTCTACAATACAGTCTATAAAGTGACATTTCATACAACTGCTAATACTTTTTCCTTCTGATGCATACTAGTGCTCTCTAATCAGACCAACAACATTAAGAAATCATGCCTAGAGAGGAAAGTTACAAAATTAAACACACAGCTTATTATGACAATGTGGAAATAGTCCATCAGCTCTAAACTTACCTTGGTACTGCATCATGTGCGTAGCAATGCTTTCGTCCTCCTGAGCTTCCCGTAATCTATCCAGCTCAAGGCAGTTGATAATTTCATCACGCTGCTCCACCACTTTCACCAATCGGGCAATCAAGTCCTCTTCTTGGGCAGTGTCTTCAGCTGTTTTCTCCCCAGGTGTCTTCAGCATAAGACATCGAATCTGATACTCCAGCTCAACATACTCCTCTTCAAGACGTTTCTCACGTTTACTGGAATTGAGAGTGAATGCTTCATAAGTTTATATTTCCAGTACTTGGACATCATCTCATGGATGAGTGCAGTGTGTGGAATTGTATAAATACCTAAATCATCGTCATACTCGTATTTCCACTTTCTGCGTTCAACAATAAGATGCCAAATATATTTTCACTTTCTTTATCAAGCTGTCAAAACACAAATCAATTAAATAAATTAATATATTCAAACACATATCCAATGAACACAAAAGTTCCTGGACATACTCACAGGTACATAAGTTCAGTCTGACGGCGAAACAGCTCATTCTTCTCATTGACCAATTCGAAGAGTTGCAGTATCATGTCCTCGACCTCTATGCTGTTTGGCCCACTGTTGGGGGCATTGGCAACCTCATCCTGCGGGTTGTTGGAGGTGCTCTCCGTCCTCTTGCGGATGGCTGTCTCAAGCAGGACACCTTGACGCTCCAGCTCTGTCTGCTTGATCTCAATGTCTTGGAGTTCTTGCTGGACCAGCCGCATGGGCATCTTCTTGAGGGCACGCTTCTGGGGGACAGGGCGTGGTGGGGCCGGCCCCTTTTTGCGCTGCCACTCCCCAGCTTCACTCTTGCTCATCGAGGGATTTCTGGCCAGACCTGAAAGAGGGTGGAAATTATTGTGGGAAAGGAATATGCCTTTAATGCCCTTCAACTCTGAGGAGCAACAGATACAGATGGCTGAAAAGCAAAACTTGCTGGAGTGCATTAACACACAAAAGAGGTGCTTTGTGTGAAGAATAAAATGGGTTTAAACAGCCGTAACAGAAGCAGTGGTTTTTCTACCAAAAATATCTCATTTTAACAAGTCAGTGATTATCAAATATTCATATATATTAATCATTACTGATAAATAAAAACAATTGGCTCAATGGCCATTGGGATATATACTGTCCACTGCAGTTTATTGTGAATTTTGATGCACACAGATGGCTCCACAAGTGCTCAGCCACCAAGAAATCAGTTAGTATGCCCTAGTGACTACATCTGATTTCCCTATTCCTTGAATTTATGGTAACTGTTGTTGTTCTTTTCTAATTCTATTAATACTAAAAACACAATTATTATAACTGACATTTTGACTATTCTCATTAAAGCACCAATACCAAAAAAAAGGAATATATTATAAAATGAGCTTTCCGGACATTAAGGAAAAGTGAAAACAGGTGTGCTATATAGGACTGGTACTGCTCCTTCATGAATAAGCAATTCTGGAGCCATAATTAATAAAGTGAAATTACAGTGGACATAGCAGATATTCATGCCATCCGTATCCAGTAGGTTAACTGGTGGCATATTCTTATTTATACAGTTATTCTTACAGTTCATTACCAGTTATCAGAAAATACTAATGAGAATATGTTTACAGACATCTAATTATGTTGTCTGGTAGAGAAAAAGACTAAATATTTTTTCTTATAATAGGCCTAAATATAAAAACCTGGCAAACAATAACTGCATTTAAAAACAACACAAATAAGAGCAACACAAAATGTCAAAACCCAAGAATCACCACCAAACAACAAAGGAAAAGAAAATGGAAAGAAAAGAAAAACAAAATCGATAATGTAAACAAATCTCAAAAAAGCTCAAGCAAGCAAGCACCAACCTCCAACACCACCCAAGTTCTTGACAATTTGCGGGGCTCGGGCTGGCTTGGGGGGAGCAAGCTGGTCAGCCGTGCCGTTCATCTTGTTGGAGTGGTTCTTCAGGTCCTTCTGCATTTTCCAGCTCAGTACTTCATCCTGGTCTGGTGGGGGGGAGGCCAAGCACAAAAAATCAGCTGCATGCTAGAGATACAGCCTTTTGTAACACAAAAACAAAAATAACACAAGTAAAAGCTATGCATGCCCAGAACTTTTCATTTTTCGTATATACATAAAAAATCAAAATGAGTAAAAAAAAGCAGCAGCACAGATAAACCAGCTACATAAAAATTCCAGCAAACTTCCCAAAGCCACAACTTACCCTCCTGCCCTTGCACCGTCTGGCTTTGAGCCCCAAAGCTAGATACAGACAAAGAGTCGCTGTTAATGGTATCTGTTGGGGAGGTCCTGCCACTTCTCGGGGTGGCAGCTTGAGGTGGGGCAGGTGCCCTTCGATCCTTCCTCTTGAGAGCCACAGAGCCGCCAGGAGAGGAGGGGGAGGGATGGGGATGCACCTTGGACAGAGCCGGGGACCTTGGGGGCTTGGGAGGACCGTGCAAAGGCACGTCTTGCTCTTGCGGGAAGAGTTCTCTTGCGCTTGGGGGCGGAGGGGCAATGATTTTCTTGCTTGGGGTAGTGCCACCCACTGAAGATGGACTACTCTTTGCACTAAGGGTCCCATACATTTGGGATGGAGTACTGAAAAAATGACAAGTTATATAAGCAAGCTAGCAATAGCCTACAGAAACTAAATTACATGATACTTCAGCATTCAAATATGCTTTAGCTGACTTTCTATTCATAATGAGAGGCACTCTTATTTTCAACAAGAATTTTCCATAATTCACCTATTCCAGTACCAAGCATTATCATATTACAGTAATAATAATAATAATAAAAAAAAAAAAAAAAAAAAAAAAAAAAAAAAATATATATATATATATATATATATATATATATATATATATATATATATATATATATATATATATATATATATATATTTGAATACATTCATTTCTTTCCTTTCTTTCATTGCTTAAAAATAGAAAAAAAATCATTAGAGATGCTAAATCATCTTTTAACCAAAAACGAAGAGTAAATCTCCTTTCTGCCTTTCTTTTGATCTTATTTCATATCAACAACAATCACTATTCTACAAATTTTCTAAAAATCACTAGTATTCCCTCCACTTGATTAAAAAAAAAAAAAAGGGCAGCCAATTCACTTTAAACTAATAGCTGAAATGAGAACTATTTGAAGCTGGAAATCAAATATCAACTGAACATTTTTTTTTTTTTTATTATTGTTTTTTTTACTTGTGCAGGACATAGTTTAGATTAGTAACTTAAATAATAATTTTCAGTTCAATTCATCCCTACAGTATTTTATAGTCAAACAATTGTCTTAATCGTTATATGTACATTTAATGCTTCACTTTGTAAAATTTCATAAAACAGATATCCCATCTCTCTTCGTTAGTCCTGAAATATCAATATTCTCTTTATTATCCTCTTCCTCTGTATAGTTACCAGCATCTAACTTATCATACACATCTTGATACAATCTCTCTCGTTAACAGCATTTCTTTCTTCACAGCTGGCAGAAATAAATATGCTCAACTTCTACATATTTAGAAGCTAGCTTGATGAATAAACCAAATTCATGTAGGTTTACACGAGCCTAAAAAGCCAAGCCTCCATACAGTCAAGAGACTGAAGCCCACTCAGCAAACCATGCAGTATAACCGCCATATAGATATACTGGTAGAAAAAACAATAGTTCTTGTATGTACATGAGTGCATCACACAACAAAGAGGATATATCACTGGTGTAACTATACTGTCATAAGGAACAGAATTTGTTTACATTTTCTGGCCTATGCATGCATTTCTGACCATGGAAAATATATTTTGGATGTAGATGTTTACTAAGAAGCTGTGAAATATATCAATATTATATTTTTCAATTCCACTCATGAACATGCTAGCCTTTTGGTTTCAAATTTGATGTTACTTTTTTTGCATAAGACTTAACTGCTTCCTTACCAATCACAGCATAAGCATAAATGCTCTCCTTTATGAAGCAAGATTTGAAAAGTTCATTAAGTAAAAAATATGTATCTAAAAAAATTTAAATGAAAACTCATCAAATTACATCAAAAGACATCAAAAGATACTCATCTGTCTTCCCAGAATACAAATCAATAGGAGTATCCTTCCCTCGAAATTTTTTTCAATAAAACTCAAGATATTTTCATAATGAAAAACTTTTAAATTCAATTCCTTTTCCCTATATTTTCTGATCCCCCTTAATTACATTTTTTTTTCTTTCCTTCGACTGCAATTTTTAAGCATACACAATATTTGTAACCCTTTCCCATGTACTAAGCTACTGTACCAATTACTCAGTGGTTTGCCTTTTATATACAAGTTCTCAACATAAAACAAAATGTACAAAACTTCTGAATTTCATCACTACTAAAAGAGGCAGAATAAAAGCTACATACCTATTTCTGGCCAGTGTTGGAGGTGGTGGTCTTGGGGGCTTAACCTTGTTTTTAGTTGGGGTTGAACTTGAACTGTTGACCTTATCCTTCTCATCCTCATCCTCTTCATCATCACTCCAGAAGGGATTTAGATTCTTCAAACTCTTCTCTTTCTCTTCAACTGCCTTGCTCTCATCTTCGGACACATCATCTTCATCGCTTCCAAATGGATTAAGATTCGCCTTGATGAGCTTCTTGGTCTGTTTTTCAGATTCTTCTACTTCTGCTGGTTCAGACTCCTTCTCCTCTTCTTCCTCTTCATCACTTCCAAAGGGATTGAGATCGTTCGGGTACTGGACGGATTGCGCGGAAGCAGAAGAGACATCGGCCCCACTGTCATGTGAGGCCAAAGTGGCATCATTTTTGTCCATGGCAGGACTACTATGAGACTGGTTCACCACGACACCACTCTCATCCTGCTGAGATTCGTCCTCATCTTCAAATGGATTAAATTCCTTGGCTTGAGCATTTGTGCTGTGGGAAAGTTTTGGGCTTCGTTCTTCAGCAGCCGGTTGTCTAGCTTCATCCTGCTTAGCATCATCTTCTTGTAAAAGTTTCTCATCTGTGCTTTCCACTGACATTGTAATGGATGGAATAACAATAGATGGTGTATCATTTTCTTTTGTTTTTTCAGAATATGTTTTTGAGTCAACCTCCATATCTTCCGTTTCATCTTTTTGTAAGTAGTCCGAAATAAATTTATCAACCTGTACATCCTTACCATTCGACATATCTTTTGTATCTTCATCTTGATCTTTCTCATCAATATCAAGCGTCTCTTCTTGTTTCGGAACACTCTCCTTTTCTTTAATCTGAACATTTTCTTTCTTTTCCGAAATAACTTTTGAACTTAAAACTATACTGCTTTTTGCTCTATCTGCGTTTGTAGTTTTATCACCAATCTCTCTGAATAATTTTAAGCGTTCGGCAACAATGGAAGAGGAACCCTTCCCTTTGCCATTGGAAATACTCGAAACCCTGTCACCTTGCCCTGTGTCAAGGGTTAGTCTTTCAGGTGGGTCTGTTTTCAGAACTTTGGCATTATCACAATGGTCTGGACGGGAGTCTCTCTTGCCCTCGACTCCAGAGTCCTTCACCTTTGATCCAAACAGTGCAGGGGAGACTTGGGAAAAGTTGCTTGCTCTACTGAGATGAGTGTTGTCTTCCTTGGGCTCCTCTGGTTTGTCCTTTGAGTCTTCATGTTCTAAAGTCTTTGTTAAAAATACAGTCCTGGGTTTGGGCAGTCTTGAAGAAATTTCATTTTGTGTGCTGCTAATACGGGATACGTCTTCTAACATACTATCTGCATCATTACTGTAACTGTCACTTTCTTCATCAGAGTCCTCACTGTCCGAGTCAGATTCTGAATCCGAGGCAGATGACTGGCGGGCGAGCTTAGTCGAGGCACTGCTGGCTATGCTAGTAGAATCAACATCTGGTATAACTGGGCGTTCTTCATCTGGACATGTTTCACAACAAAACTGACTCTTTTCTGTCTCATAATAACTGGCAAGTGTCAGCTGAGTTGAGCATCGGGCACAACGGAAACATGTTCTATGCATCAGTTGACCTGGAGAACCCACTAAAAGGCGCTCAGCTAGATATACCGGGTTGTTACATCCTACGCACACTTCACGACGTCCTCGTCCACCTGTCAACACCTGTTGCCAAGAAATAAGGTAAAAAGAATTAACTAAAAAATCTTATATAGCACAGGATTCTAGAAAATATATCCTTTCAGTAAAAAGTCAGGACCTCACAACCGCCTAAATAATTAGAGCCTATCCATTCATAATAAGAATTACCACAATACAATAGCAGAATATCTTTCAAACAAGAGAGAACTTTTAATTTTTAAAAATGTATACATAATGCCATGACAAACGAACAAAACTTAAAGAAATAAAACATCCAATTAATTTATTCCCGAGAAAACTTGGACAATGAAAACCTGAACACAACAGAGCACCATGTACTTTCTTCTAGCAAAATAAGATAGGATATAATGATTCCTGCTTGGTCACTTGTAACACTGAGAGACACAGGGGATGCATATATATTGGGGTGCTTAGCAAATAAGTGGATTGATTTTTTAAATAAACCATATAATACTCTCTAATCTATTAGTGCATATTTAATATCATTATAGGAAAAAAGTTAATTTCCATCTCATTTCTTTTGCCAAACAAATTTTTTTTTTCCCCAAGTATAAAATACTGACACAGAGCAGTGAAAAGAGAGAAATGGAAAATCGAAAGCAAATAAGTATATGAAAAAGAAATAGTTATGACTGTTAAAGTATTGTGGCTAAGGCAAGTATGCCTAATCTCATGCACATATTGAACTCTCTTTATATAAATATTTTCAAAAATGACAATACAAGAACAATAATCATCATCAATTAACTTCTGCAACCTGAATTGCTTAGCAAATATTTAACATAAGACAAATGTAGTTTTCAACAACTGCGAATATTGCTAATAAACAATACTATCCCATATTTCCAATACAATGATCTACAAAACACTTGTTGACAGCAAATGTCAAATATAAAAATAATAAATGACCAAACACTCTACCATATTGATACAAATGGGAGGAAAACCTACCATACACAAAATTCATTCCTTTGTGCATAGTGAGCTTTCCACCAAGAAAATAATCTGTACATATAAGACAAACTACATCAAATAAATTTGCTGTAACTACCAACATCAAAAAGAAAAACAAGGCATCATGTATCCAATACATAGATTAACATCCAGATTAAAAATATAGCAGATAACAAATGGCTTTACTGTATAGAAGAAAAGATTATACAGAATATATTCAATAGTCTACAAACTGAGAATACCTGAAAAAAGAAAATAAAGAAAAAACAGAAGAAGACTGCTTCATGTACTTTGGAAAATAAAGTGTTAGTCCAGAATTCTTTGTTAGTATACATGTATGCTCCCAAAAAACATCTTCAAAAGGATTTTATAGATATTTTTCTCTTCCTCTTCACAAGTCTCGAGGCAAGTCAAACGGAAAAACCCGAGCTTCGCCTCAATAAGGGGAAAGAAGGCAGTAGTGCATTGGGGAAGAGAGAGCAGGATCAGCAGTTGTTTCAGAAACACCTGTAGTCGCCTACATGTCTGAAAGTGATACCAGATTTGGAAGAAGTTGCTGCTTCAGAAAATGATCAGATGGTCAAGACTGATGATGCAGTGAAATAATAGAGAAAAGATCAGAAAGGTTGTACCAGCAGAATTTCGATCTAGAGCTCATGCAAACAGAAGGTTAGAATAAGAGGTGGAATATGTTCCTTACTCGATAAAACATGTATCCAGAGTCCAGGAAGGGTTACCATATATGTAGAAGGGATTGGTTACATGCTTGTTTCCCAAGTGACCTGTTAAACTCACTGCCTTCAGGTCCAACATAT